AGGAATCATAACCTATTTTTTAAATGTATAAAAAATTCACTGGTGCTTAATAAAGGGCTTAAAAGTTACAGGCAGAAGAAAAATAGATTACAGGCAATTATATGTTTAATAATATGCAAATGTTAAATTAGAACATGATCATATTACTGTTTTTTGGAGAAGAACAGATTTAAACAATTCAAAATAACAGATGCAATTTTTAATGCTGAGATCTAACAATAAATTATAAATTAATAATACATGTATTGAATTATATCTTGAGTTTCATAGATAGTAATTTCATCATAATAGATAAAATTACAAACAGCTTATAGTTCAAATGTCTTATGTTTCTATTTATGTGAAAGGTGGCCAGTATTTTCTTATATGGGTAAGATAACTAAATAAAGGGCAAGTCACTGATCTTATATCCATGATCTTTCAGAAATTACACGATTTAGCCTATGTTCTCTTATATGGGGACTGACTGATATTAACTGGCTAAAAAAACAAACAAACAATACTGGACGACATATGGAGTTTAAACCAAGTGAAATTATCTGATGATTACTGAGCTTTCCAGGGAGCCGAGAAATAAATGATGCAAACTGAATTTCAGCCCTCCCCACATTCATTTCCAATTCATAGGGGATATTTCTTGTTTCTTGGATAGAAAAATGTCACCCTAAGCTACTCTTTGCTCTTGGGGAGTGGCAGCTGGCCATGAACTTCAAAGTTCCAAATAGAACATCATCGACACCTAGTGGCCGCACAGACAAGTCCTCTGTGTGATTTTTCTTGGCCAGCAACAACTGATACAGGAAAAGGATCTATGGAGGGAGGAATCTCCGTCCCACATCACTTCCCCGACCCAAGTTGGACCTGATTTTGACATTGTCAGCTTATTTCTGCAAACAAGGGGCATTCAGCTAGTGCAACTAATAACACGAACTTAGTTATGTTGTACTCCACCTTTAAGCCATAGGAAATGCTAAAAAATAAAATATACACTGGTCAAAAAAAGTTGTTTTTTTACTTGAGTCAAATCAGGTGTTTATATCAGGTGTATGTACAAAGAATAATAATACAAGACATCCTGTTTTTCTTTGAAATTAACCTCCTGTTATTTTCCCCCAAAGGAATCTACCCAAGAGATGTAAATAAAACACCTCAGTGAGAACGGGATTTTTCCAGAATAGCAGAGCAATGAATAAAATGCAGATAGCTCTTCTGTTACCACAGGTCCCTGGGCAGCCCTTTCCATCTGGGAGAGGAGGAGAGGAGGAGAAGAACCTTACCCTACCCGTGGGCTGCTGAGTCCGTAAACAAGAGAAGGAAAGCACCCACATGGTGCATGATTTCAGAAGTTAGAGAGGTGATGTGTGTTCTCCTGGTTGGTATTAGACTTCTTACAAAACAGTAAAGCAAGTGCTAAAAGAGCCCAGCGATGGTTGGTTGGTTGGTTTTTGTGAGATGGGCAGGTTGTTGGCCTGTGTTCATGAACATTGGTTGTATCCGTTTGGAGGAATGGCCTTTTGACTCATGGCGGGGTCATCTGATGGACCTAGACAAAGAGGTCTATTATCACAAAGGCCTTCCTGGTCAGGATGTCTAGTAGCTGTTGTGTTTCCACAGAAACCTGTGGATCGGCTTAGCCAGAAAAGACCAGGGGCCCTGTGCTTCCACGGCAGAATGAGGACAGTGATGACTGGCAAAAAAGAAGCCCAGGGAAAGATAAAAGTGTTGTAAAAACAATTGCCTATGTATCATACATTCTATTTTATTTTTATTTATTTATTTATTTGTTTTATACATTCTATTTTAATATCGGTATGTCTGTTTAATCATACATATATGAAGTTCACAAAGTCAAGAGAGGCGATTGGGAATAATTGTTATTTGATCATGACATTAAAGAATAGAAATATCGTGCCTTGGGAGAGCTTTTTGCTTAAATCAAAAAGAGAAAAAGGAAGAGATGAGTTTGGGGAAGCAGATTTGCTCCGGATGCTCATGGGCAGGTGATGTTATCTGATATGAACCCAGTGGGGTGGTGGTTTCGGATGTCTTTCAAGTTCTTTGTCCGCGATGACGCTTTCCCGGAGTATGTAGGGAAAATGGAGTTTTGGAAAACCTGTACGCAGTCCCTTCACTGGCCTATCCAAGATGGCTAATTGGGTTCATTAAGTTAAAAAATAACATTGTGAATAAGAAAAAAAAATGTAAAAAGTGTAAGCAGATTAAAAATGGATATCTACCTATGTGTTTGTGTGTTCTGAGCGTGTGTCTCCTCAGAATGGTGAACTCCTAGGAGCAGGCATATTGAGAATGTCCCACAGAGCCAGGAACGAGGAAGGGCCTTAAGTTACCTTGGTGGGTGCATTGAACCACCTGGGGGAAGTAACCATAGTGGTGCAGCTACAGCCAGCTCCCACCAGCTCACATGGCTACATTCCTGCCCACAGTGTCCCTTTAGGGACTTTTCCATCTCTTGGGTAGCAGTTCATTAATAATAATAATAATAATAATAATAATAATAATAATAATGAACATTTAGAAATCTCATCACAGTTTACAAAGTGTTTTCAGATCTACTTGTTAAAAGCAAGTAGATTGTCCCTGCAGTTTATAAAAACTGAGCCTTAGGGAGAACACACACATTTTTTGAGGTTCAAACAGCTAGTAAGTGGATCAGTGGTGTTTCAATCTAGGTCTTCCAACAACAAAGTCCCAGGTTAGGATACTAAAAGGTCTTATTCCTTCTAGAAGTACTTTTACTTTAATGGGGAACTTTAGTCAAGATTAAAACTGAAGGATTAACTCTCCAATGTTGGGGCCGTAGGTAAGTTTGGATCATGTCTACGAGTGCTTTGCCTTAAATCATTGGCGCATCTTCCCAACACAGACTCTCCGTGACTGGCCCTGCTCTGATGGGAAGGAGATGCTGCTTGGAGGGTTGGGCAACCTGGCTCATTTTGGAACTTGTCTCACAATATACTAAATTGATGGTTTGGCTGTTCATCAGTAGGTAGAACATTCTTATTAAAGGTGCCGCATATGTGCATTTGCTACATCTCTTCATATAAGCAACAGAGGTAGTCTTCATCAGTTCTCTGTAACAGATCATTTTATTATAATTACTGTCTATATGATTTATTGTATTTCTAGAGGTATCAACTACAGAAACAACTCTCTTTTTGCCCTTTTTCCTGACCGAAGTTCAATGACTATCCTCAACAGCTCTTCATTAATATGTCTTTAGCATGCCTAAAAAAAAGAAATGGTAGAAATGTTGAGACATAAATAAACAAAAGGGGGAAAACAACTCTGTAGGGAAGTGAGGATTCTTGGGAAGTCTTGTGATCTTCTACAATACACTTAATCTGCATCTGAGTTTCCAAATGTGGGCAAAATTATTTCTGGATCTTTAACTTTTACAAGTATTCAACTCACAGGCTGCCAGTGATTCATCAATAATTAATCAAACAGCCCAAGCTATTTTAGTTACTTTTCATTAAAATGAAGGGCAAGCTGTATCTTTAGTCTTTCAGTGTATATGTTTCTCAGAGTGCCTTGACACGATCTGTTAATTCTCTAAAAACTTTATGACCAGAAAAACGCAAAGAACAGACAATGCTCATATGGCCTCAAAGCAAGGTGGTATTGTCTTATATACATACCATCACGGAAAACTGTCCTGGAAAATGCAGTCAGTTTGTGCACTCATTGATTTTTCATTGTGTGTCTAGAAATTCATTATTGAAAGGATATTAGTCTTTCTTATTATCAGGATTTTTTTTGGCGGAGGTTGGGGAGATGGGGTGGAGTAGAAGAAACAGAAAGAAAAGAGAAGGAAGAGAAGGAGAAAAGGAGATCTTAAAAAATACCTTGGTTATGGAAAATGTTTACCTACTGCCTACTTAAAACTAGGCAGAGTAATTTCCATCATGAGAATTCCAGAGAATGTATTACATCAAGATTCTCTAAATATTCTAAATCCTTTTTTTAAGAAGTCTCTGAATGTAAGATTTAATATGTCTTCTTTTGGTCTATAATGTCTTTTTGTCTTGACATTAAACTTCTGGCAACTGCAACTATGTTGTACTTAATTGTAAATAAAAAAATCAAAATAAAAGAAAATTATAATTTGAAAGAAAGTACAGGTCTTTATGGAAAAAGCCTCCAGGATGTCACTCTGGTCCCACTTACTCTTACTTTATATAGAAGTGACTAGGTTTCTGAACTGATGTGAGATTCATAAGGCTTCATGAGACAATTTTTTTGTAACCCCAAAACACAAAACTTAGTACATATTGTGGGGTCAATAAATGTTTAGTAATGAGTGAGAAGATTAGAAGCAGTATTTAGTAGCTGGGGTTGTTGGAGACAGGTACATACAGTTGAGAGAAATTATAACTGATAACCTGAAACCTATAGGAAGAGTGAGAAAAATCATAAAAACCAGACATAAAGGTCACTGAGTTAAAGACACAAAGTCCTATCAAGGTGTGATTAAAAAACACTGTGAATGTTTAAATTTAAAAAAATCTATTAAAGTAAAAGACACATTGCCATTAATCCCCCTCAAAATACTCCCCCTCACTTCGAACACACTTATCCCATTGTTCTTGCCACTTTCTGAAGCAGTCCTGGAAGTCCTCTTTGTGAGTGTCTTTAGTTGAGCTGTCTTGGCTGCCTCAATGTCCTGAATCGATTCAAAACGTTTACCTTTTATGGTCATTTTGACTTTGGTGAAGAGACAGAAGTTGCACAGTGCCAGATCATGGTTACTATAGCATCACCATGAATTAATTTTAACATTTGTGTGTTCTTTAGTACTTTTTTGCAGTTTGAAACAAAATTTCATGAGTTGTTTGTGATCCATGATTTATGGCACACTTTAAAACACACCTTCTCTCTACTGTAGCTCACACCCAACTGACTGCACAGAACAAGTTGAAACTTGTCACACACTATTACTAAGGTTCGACATGCTGCTTCCCATATTGAAGAGTCTTGTCTTTCCTTGGGTGGCACTCAGCAGCAGCATTCACTGGGTGTTTTGATCACACCTCGTATATCTTATTAACATCTGAGGGGTTATAGCACAGATACAAAAACAATTGCCATTAACAATAATGATCCTGAGTCATTAGGAAAATAATAAATTTTGTTTAATACTCATTTAATAAAAGTCAGGGAGCTGTGCAGTGTACTTTTAAAATATTTCCGTTGGGGAGGATATTAAAATATTCACTCAACTGGAATCTTAGTTCCCTCTCATATTAGATTTCCTTTTCAAAATGTAATCTTGATTTTGTATTGATGATACAATATTATATACTATGAAAATAATTCCTTGGTTCTATTCCAGGATATCTAACTCCACAGTATCTTTTGTAGACATAGAAAGCATGTGTTTTCTTTGTCCTTGTGATCTATTAAGCTTTCCCGTACAGAATTTTAATATGTTCCACATATCAGACCTTCCTGTTTCAGTTACAAAACAGTACAGAATAGGGTCAGCAACACAATTTAAACTTGTTAATGCAACTGTGATTCTATACATTTTATAATTCTGCTTTCCAGACTTGTGGTCAAATGTATGCTTGTTAATGTTTACATCACGCTCGAAAATGCTGCGAATCAGCAACATCGTATGAAAGGGAGTGAAGCACAAAACAAAAGTCAATGTGACACTCACAAGCAGTTTTATGATTCTTCTCTTTTCAGCCTTTTCCGTGGCCTGATTATGCTGCACAGCTTGGTAGACTTTCTGGTTGCAAACCATCATGATGACCAAAGGTATTGCATAGCCCGTGCACGTCCTAAACAAGTTAAACTTAATTTGCCATTTCTCCAAAGGGTATTTGTCATAGCATAGAGTAAAATTAGACTTTTTGACATTACAGTATTCTACAGCTGTCTCATCTTCCCACAGAATGACAGCATTGAAGATGGTTTCCAAAACCCAGATGGATAGGCTGACCATGAATGCAAACCTTCTTGTCCTCAGGAAAGAAAACTTCAAAGGGTGGACAACTGCTAAGTATCGATCAACAGCGATGCAGGTGAGGAATGCTGTGCTGCTGTAAAAGTTCATGTACATGAAGAAAGCAGTCCCTTTGCACAAGGCAGGAGAGAAAGTCCAGTTGTCTTTATTCCACGTGTAATCAATCCACAGAGGGAGAGTGAGTGCATACAGCAGATCTGACAGTGATAGGCTGAAGAGGTAAATTCCTAACTCATTTTCCTTCTTGGCTTGAAGAAAAGACACACAGAGAGATCCAATGTTGGTTGGAATGCTGACTATGACCACAAAGACGTAAACGATTGGAAACAAATAGTGATCTAGGTCGTGCTGTTCATCAATACATGTGGTGTTCATTTTTTTTTCCTCTTTAAGGTGGCAATTACATTCGTTCTCAGGAGGCAAACAGCCAAATAAGTCTCGCCTTGTTGCAGTTCGTTTTCAATATCTAATTCTCTTTTGTGAGATATCTTCAATTTTTCTTTGCTTCCAAAAGTTTCAATTCAGTCATCAATGCTTTTAAAGAATGGATGATGACTTTTCACACAGATGTCAATGGTGTGAATGAAGTCAGAACCCAGGCTCCTGGTGGTTAGCTAAAAGGCCAGTTGATTCTAATGAGCAGACATCCATGTAATGACAGATGCTGAGGAAGACTCCTCAAGGACCGCCTGGTTATCCTTCAGCTTCCAGACAGTTTGTTTTCCTTCATGAAACTCAGGAGACGGACAGTGCAAACATGAACACATAAGCCTTTGTTTTCATAGAGATTGGTATCTCATTTTAAAATTTCGTTGTCTCTGTAATGAAAGATGAACTAGAATAGTTTATATGTTTAAAAGATACATCCTGATTTTGAAACAGTCTTTTTCTATTTTGTTTATCAAAGACATCAAAAATACATTAAATTACAATAAAGGTGTTTAAAAGGGAAATGATCTAATTGACTTCAAATGTGAAATCAAGCTGAGATATTTTACCTATTTCAAATAAGAATTATCCAAAGAATGCTAGTTTAGAGGGAACTGTATTTCTCACTGGACGTGATCTAAAAACACAATGCTAAAGTTGAAAAATCATTTTAAGAGCTCACTAAAAAAGATGGATGTTCATTGATTTGTTTGTAATCAGGAAATGCTTTGAGTGTATCATAAACTGTATGATTACATGATTTCAAATTTTGAATTTCATATGCAATCTAGGTATAAGGCACTTTCAAAATCAGCTTGTTAACCAAGAAAATATTGTCACAAGAAATTTGATAAAATATTTAAAATATTGCAGCTTGCTGAACCTTCATAAAAAATAAGATAAAACTATCTCTTCTGTTTTTCCTCTGCTTCTTTTGTGGGTTAACTCATTTTATCTTCCTCATCCTCTTGTGAAATAGGGGTCAGAATGTTCTCAGCTCTGGGTAAAATCTTGTGATCATCTTGTTTCTACCTTCATACCTGATTGCTTATTAGGTTAGTTTCTTTTTAAAGGTTTGACGCTACAGTTTCATATAGGAATAGAGCATCCATCCTTCTCTCTGCACTAGAGTGCAGAAATACTTTTGTCTGTGTTTTTCTGCTAGTGGGTCCCATTGGTGCTTCAGATGACTTATCTGCTGAGGGTATTCACAGAAAGCTTTGTAGAGCCACTGTGCAGGGAAGAAAAATGTGCCTTCTTCCTGTGTGCTGTGGAGCCCAGACAACATCTAAATCACCCTCTTGCAAGTGTCAATGAGCCCCAAGCACAAAAGAGACCCGCCACCACGAGGCACAAGGATTCTGATAGCAGAGTAACCTATGTCCAGGGTACATATTCAAATATGTCCCTCTCAAAACAAAATGGAGAACTGAAACATAGTTTTACCACATCTAAACATAGGAATAGAATATGAGAAACAGCCCTTTAAATCTGGAAGATGAACCTTCCAGAGAGGGGGAAAAAAAAGCATGATGGACAAAACAGGAAGTAAGAGCTGAGACCAGAGAGGTAAGTGAGCAGTGAAGCTCTGGATCTCTGGGAGGCCCATGTGGAACTGGAGGAACCAGAGCCTCTGCATGAAGAGCAACTAGGGACAGAGCACGTGTGGGCCCACGCAGGTGGGGGGCGGTCCTGGCCCATCCCAGCTATGCGGGGATCCAGCAGCCCCTGCCCTCAAGCAAAGGGTTGAACCAGAAAATAAGCAAAATGAGACAAACTTTACAGATATTGGCAGACAGCTGAGCACGTTGGCCAGTTCCCTGTCTCAGCTTTCTTTCTGTGAGGAGCTCTTAGTAAGAAATCCTTGAGTATTCATGGCCTGTGGCTGGCCCTCACTTGAGAATAAAGTCTGAGTCGACGCTGTTAGTTTCAGGCCATTGATGGATTAATAATGGAGCTTCATTAGCACATCCGGGAAATACAAACGAAAACCATAGTGAGATGCAACTACACACTCACCAGGATAAACAAAACGAAAAAGGTGGAAAATACCAAGTGTTGGTGAGGGTGCAGAGCACCTGGGGCCCTTTGATGCTGTTGATCAGAAAGCTGTCGGCACCTGTGCATACCACATGGTTGTAGGTATATGCTCAACAGAAATCCGTGCATGTGTGTACCGAAAGACATGTGGTAGAATTAGAATGTTCACGGCAGCACTGTTTGTAATCTCCCCCCGCCCCCAACTGGGATGCTCATTAGCAGTGGAATAGGTAAGTCAATTGCTGTATATTAACACCGTTGAAATCCATACATCAGTGAAAAATGAATAAATGATTACTACATGTGATAACATGATTGCAGCTCAGAAACATAACATAGAGTGACAGGAAAAGGCAGGCCCAAGAGAGTATCTGTTTAAAAACCAGATAAAGTTCATCTCTGTCGTCAGAAATCAATGTAGCAGTTCATTTATTGAAGGCTAGATGTGCTGGGCACCGTTTTAAATGGCATGCACAGTTGTTATAATTTATGTTTCACTACACCTCTGTACTATTTATTATAACCCTATATTACAAAGGAAGAATTGAGTCTCACAGTAAGCAATTAGCCCCAAATGATCTATCTAATCTTTGGTAGAACTCAGCCACAGTCCTAGATTGTAATGCTAGAGCCTCTTCACTATTTTGTCTTTTGCCTTTTATGTAAAAATACCTTAGAAATCTGAGCTATTTCTGCAGCAATACAGGCCAGCTTTGTTGAGAAGGAAGAGAATATTTTCTGTTTTCCACCTAAATTGTAACACCAACAGATTAGCACAAGTCTTCTAGCTATAACACTTCTAATTAAAGAAAATGACTTCTGAGTAATCATTTCTGCAAATGAGATATAAATAAGATGTTTCCTCACATTTTCTAGAAGACATTACTTTTATGTTCCCTGTAAAACTATTGGGGCTTCAAATAGACTTGTAAAAATTACCATCTCACATCATATCCTCACTCAGTGAGGATGTGTTGTTGTTATGTTTCCATATATCTGTCAGCATGTTTTCTTTGAAATGGTAAAAGTGTTTCTTTTCATTAAATGATAATGGATAATGTAGTGGTTTTACTTAGACAGGTTTTTCTTTTTTCTGCATTTGATTTTAGAAATAGATGGCTAAAAGGAGAAAACGCACTATTACCACACTTAGAGAAATCAGTCTCCCGGTTCTTAGAGTCATGAGGCTGAATTTTGAAGTCTATTGTTTAGTTTAGGAATCCTCTGTGAATTGTTTTAAAGCTGAAATCAATAGGCCTTTTGAGCATTTTGAGCCTTGCCTCTGCTCAGGGCCCGCTCCAAACTGTTTGGAGTGTACTTTCTTTTCTAATAATGGCCCTTGAGCCATCTACTGCTCGAGCCTGCTTCTGCTTCTTTGAAATGTATTTTTACTTCTAATAAACTCCTTTTCTGCAACTTAAAAAAAAATAAGTAAATAAAATAAAGTTGAAATTAATTATCTTTCACCACTTATAATGTGGTAATGAAGAAAACATAAATAAGATCAATTGTGAGATCTATCTATCTATCCATCTATCATCATGACAAATAGGGAGAACCACTGTGCATGTCTCATCCTTCTCAACAAAGCCGATCTGCATTGTTGCAAACAACCTGTAGAGTGTCATGTTAAACATTTGTTATAAAACAAAGAGAGAAATGAGATAGTAGTGACCTTTGGGGAGGGGCCAGGTAACAACCAGAGGAGGGCACTAGAGGACTTCTGAGACTTTGGTAATGTTCTGTTTCTTGGTATGAGTGTTGATTCCATGAACAAGTTCAGTTTGTAAAAATTTATCAAGCTGTACCCTTAGGATAAGTGCATTTTTCTGCATGTATGTCACATTGCAATTAAAAAGGTTAAAAAGTGGATTTAAAAGTTTATGTGAGATGGGAGGTAAAGAATTTCTCAACAGCAACAGTAACAGAAACCAAGACAGTGGATTGATGGTTCCAAATTGCTAAGAAACCATACATCATCCTGTAATCGTGTACCCAACAGAACTAAATTTCAAAAGCAGAGCGAAAATAAAGACATTTTTAGATAAACCTGAAAAAATGCACCCCAAAAATCCTTATTAAAGAGACATCTAAAGCATATAAGTGAAGAATGAAGATAGAAAAAAGTCTGAGATGCGTCGAGGGTTGAATAAGCTCCTGAGGAGGGAACTCTGATGGGTGCACAGCATCTCATCCATTACTAGGCTCATGTGTCTGGGCAAGAACACCTGAACCGTGAGATTGTCCTTCCTCGGGACCAGGACTGAGACAGCTGTGTGATGGTCAGTGGGTGCCCTTCCTCCTTTATCCATGTTACGTAATAAATCTGCTTCTTTGCTCTTAAAAAAAGATAAGCTAAATAAAATGCAAAGAATGATTTCTGGAGGACTTATAAAGTTCTCGATAGAATACATTACTTTCTGTATAAAGACGTTTCTTGCCGTGACTAAAACAACCACAAGACCGAATGGTTTGATGAAACAGATACTGGCTATCTTCTCTTTTGGGCAACAGACACAGTGGTTACGAAGGCTTGTGGGCATACGTGTGATGTCTGGAGACTGAAAAGGTTCTCAACAGCCCTTGGGGGATTTGTGACCATACGTGTTTCTCCACTTCTCCAAGTTTGTTTTTACAGATGTAAGATAACACCCACCCACTTCACAGAGTTGTGAGAATTAAATGACATGACATATGAAGCAAAGAACCTAGCACATGGTAAGACTTCACTGTACATTAGACGATATTATCGTTTTAATGACAACACCAGTGGTTTACAGGCGACCTTTGTGCTGTCCTCTACATTCCTACAAGGAGGTCATCTTTGGCCATCTACTCAGCGCATAGCAGAGTAGCCAGAGGCATTCAGAGTGTAATTTGTACAGTGACATTTCACATATGATACCAGCTCTGCAGATACTAGTTGTTAAATTAAGGTGTGAATCTGAGATTTTAATGGAATACATAATTCTTATTATTCATACATCTTTTCAGGTATTATTTTGACTAATCAAATCTCGAGAAAAATTGCTTTCAGAACCAGTTCTGAAAACTTTGGATTTTTAAAAATTTTTATAATTTTTACCAAATGCCAGAAGAAAACAATCCACAGGATAGTAAAATATATCTGTTCTTAACCAGCTCCTAAAATAGCACAAATCATTAATGACAATGATCAAAAGATAAAAAGTGTTACAGGAAACATTTGCCTTCACTTATGATTTTAATAGCTACTTATTAAGGCTCTACTATGAGTCAGGCACTGTGATAGTCACTTATTCAGTAAGAATTATTAATCAATATTTATTAATAATGGAAATATTATCTCCAATTTTCACATTATTTCTGATGGCATGAAAAGTATCACTAGACCATTGTACTGATGAGGAAATGGTGCCAGCTAGCTCTATAGCCAGGAGCTTTCTTGGCTGTATAGCTGTCTTCCTAACCACTTAATTGTTTGCCCACAAATTGTTTCCTGAAGCGGAAAGAGGGTATAAGCATTCCTCTTTCGTATATGGATAGTTTTACCTATTTCTAAATGCAAAGTTTGACATCCTTTTACCACTGCTCAAAGCAGAGGAAACCACATGTCATCTTCATTTCTCTCTCTCTTATAATGATCTGCATTACCACATTTATACAACCTAAACTAGATAAAATGTTGCAAACACTACTGACAATCCTGCAAAAGTGTGTTCTCTACTCAAAAGCCTTAATTTATTTTTAAATTTTACACTTACCCATGTTTCTTGGGGTGGCGATTTTGTCAACCAAGGAGCCGGATAAATCCACTTGCATCAAGAAGAGAAACCAACAACTGTAGAAAGGACAGGAAATTGCACTCATATTGCATCATGAACCAATGAGGAAGCAACATCTTAACACGAAGGATGTACATTACCCAAGCTTAGCAAAAAAGTCTCTTAAACACTTTAAAAAATGTTTTTATTTATTATTTCCTGTAGCATCATTTTTATCACTCGCTTTTCTCTTTGCATCTTAATTATAATTGCCTACTAACAGTATTTGTGCTTTAATAGTATTTGTACTAGAATCCATTGATTCACTCACTCATTCGTTTATTCTGTCAACACGTATACCTAGCATACTGTTATGACACTGATGGAAGATAATTAGGACCTGGCAATAGGCCATAAAGAGCTTATCACCTAGTGAAGGAGAAAGGCATGTATAATAGTAACCAATAACACAATGCAAAGATAATGTAAGTATACTCCAAAGAGGTACAGAAAGACAGAATGGGTCATTGAATGTGTGAGATGGGAGAGGATCTTGTAGATGGATTCAGGGTGATTAACTTCTTTGGGAGAAAAACAGCAGAGGGAGGATGAGGGCTGGGTGTATAATGAGCTTGTTTCATTACTTAATGGATAGCAGTGCTAAGGTAGGTAGCCAACTTTGCAAAGTTTTTTGTTTCTTTTCCTAAGGGGACCAGTTGGATTAGCAACATAGTATTTTGTTGTAGAACCATTTTCTCCCTATGATTCTCCTTGTAGAATAGAAGGCAGAAATTGCTAAAACCGTGCTAAAAGTAGTTTGAATCTTGCCGTCATAAACTTTTACTACAAATGAAGGGGACAATATTACTTTATAAGGACAGAATTAATTTGAGATGGAAAATTTTAACTTAAAAAACTGTAATCAGGACAATTTGAGTATATTTTGGTACAAGGACAGTAGAGGTTGCTGTTGGTAGGGTTTTTTTTTTCCCCCAGAGATGGAAAAGATGTCTTGTGATATAACCATGACTCAATCTTGGTGTTATTCAGGATATAACAGGAATGTAAAGGTTTTTTTCTGTACTTACTTTGTAGGTCTTTCATTGAGAACAACAAAAGTAATAACTTACATTTATAAAGTACACAAGAGTTTGCAAAATAATTTAGCATACAGTAATGTGAAAATTCAGAATACTTTATATTTTCACTGAAATAATGAAAAATGTAAACATAATTTGTGGAAAATAAATAACAAAACCCTCAAACCTTTACAAAAATGAAAGTAATGATTCCAGTTTGCTTGTGACTTGAATCCAGAATTCTAATTTTTGTTTGGTTTTGCACATCCGCTTATCTGTGGCATCAACCCATGGGTATTACGTGACTCTCAATATCTCCTATTTTACCTAAATAGACTATACTTCTGCTTTTAGGAAAAGGGTATTTTTCATATCAAATATTTATGTATTTTGCTTTTCAAAAAAAGGATGTAGTTAAGAAACAAGAAACACAATAAAACTTTCACTTTTGGTTAAATAGGAGAAAAACTGTGGCTGACCTATGCTAAAACACTGCCAATTCTGCACAGTATTAATAACTCGTAATAAGTTTCCTTTTTATTTAGCCCCAAATATTTGGCAATACTATACTTTCAACCACAAAGCTATGGAATGATGAGTTGGAAATTTGAGGGCTGTTGAGTCTCTATGATATTTTAAACTCCAAGGTGAGAAAAAGCCAATTAGAAGTTATTCAAAATTCTACTTTTAGGGGGTTTGCACTTCTGGTATGCCAGCTGTCTGGTCGTCTGAAGCCATAAAACGTCACCCAACGCGGTCCAGTGGCGGGGCACTTGGGCCACCCACGTGGAAAAGGAGAAGAGAATGTGGTTCTTCTCAGTTCCAACTTCTCCATGGGGATGACAGTGCAAGAGCCTAATCTGCTGATGAAGGGCCCTTTGCGAGGCCACATTGTCCATTTGGTGCAATTTCACTAGTTAAAGCAGCGGCTAAACATGGCTGGGTATGTTCTGAAATATGGATATATTTCCCCATCCATATTTCCTTTTACCCCATCCCCACTCCTATACACTCAATTAGTCATTTTGCATTTATTGCTTCTTAGAAGGAATTCTTGGCAGAAAAATAGGGGATGGTGGGGAGATGGCATTCCTAGTTTTTGATTTTCAAAAGATTTGGACAATTCAGGAGAAATGAAAGGACTGGTGCACAGACAATATGCTTGTGAGAATACCTGTTGAGATAAAGCAAAGCTTCCCACCCCTAAGGACAGAAAAAAGTTTTTTCTGCCTGGTGGAGGTGGGGCTTAGGGTTGTGAGAGAGATAGTCATGAGATGTGGTGGTCTGAGACAGGGACCCTGCATCCTGACTGCTGTCACCCTATCCCCAGCAAGCCTTGAGGTGAGGTGGGGGGGTAAAAGTTACCTCAGATGAGTTGTATGGTCTGGGGAGGAGAGTGGACCTGTGTCTCATATTCAGTGTGAAGTCCAGATAGGTGGCGAGACTCTAGCGTGTGTGTGAGAGGCCTGAGACAACCTCGCCAAGTTCAAGGAGCCCAGCACAGAGCAGGCAGAGTACAGTGATTGCTGGAAGGCTGTGAGGGACACACAGAAGTGATGAAAAGCCTCAGGCCACCTCCTGGGGCTCCCAGTGCCCAATGTATCATAGAAGCAGACTTGACACCATTGATAAGGGACAACCCAGTTGATCCTGCAGGGGGTAGCTAATGAAGACCAGGATGAGGGTTTCTTAGGAGGCCAGCAGTGATGGAGAATAGACTTGGGAACCAAGGGTTGAGCTACTGCCCTCCAGCCTTGGCAACATGCAAACTCCCTGGATCTTAGATGGTGTTATGGGCTGAATTTTGTATCCCTACCCCTCTGCCAGTACCTCATAATACAATTGTTTTTGGAGATAGGGCATTTTAAAAGGTGGCTAAGTTAAAGTGAAGCTTTAGCATGGGCTCTAATCCAATCTGACTGGTGTCCTTAATAAGAAGAGATTTGGGCACACAAGGAGACGCAGGGATGCAGGTTGAACATAGGAAAGACCATGTGAGAACTCAGAGGGAAGGCAGCCATCTGCAACCCAAGGAGAGAGGCCTCAGAAGAAACTGCTATGCCTTGATCTTGAACTTCACAGCTTCCAGAACTGATTCCTGCTGTTGAAATCACCCAGTCTGTGGCGTTTTATTCTGACAGGCCTAGCACGCTACTATAGGTGACACCCAGAGGAAAGGTTGGACGCTGAATTGACTGTGATTAAGTTTCCACCACCTTGGCAAATAGGGGATTGAAATGGAATCTTGGTTGAGTGACAGAAAGATAAAGAATATTCTACTGCGTGCATCTGTGGTTATGCCCTGAGATCGGAGTCCACAGCATTCAGGCCACACATTTGATCCAAGGTGTGTAATTCAACAAAAATACCTTCGTATAGGACTACTGAGCAAAAATATTTTTCCCATTCCTTACCAATGGCTTAAAATGTAACTATCAGAAAATCTTTCTTTTGGATCTTGAAAAATTTGCTCCCAGGCTTCTTTTCTAAAGGTGCAAGTATTCCTGGGAGGGGTAAAACCTTACGGTTGTCAGGTAAAACTCAGTTGGCTGCAACATTATGGCAAAACTCCCCAGGATCCATTTACATGGGTTCTCCAAGTGTGGTTCTTAAGAGTAGCAGCATTTATGTCACCTGGGAATGTGTGAGAGCTGCGATTCTCAGTTTCGCCCCAGGCTCAGGGAGTTGGAGGCTCCAGGGTTGGCGTCCAGCGGTGTGTTATCACAAGCCCTCCACGTGATTTTAATGCTCCAGAATTTGAGAACAACTGGTGTGCGTACCGGATGGGTGCCTGGGTAAGAGACTGTGAGAGGCGGCGGGGGAACAGCACCTCTGAAAAGGGAGGAGGGTGGAAACGCTTTCTGTTCAAATTCTTGCATGGTTTGGGTACTTTAACCCTGCTGCCCTTTCATCAGCGATTGAATACCCTTTTGCATCGTCCTGCCATTAGTTCATTTGGCTCCACCCTTCTAAAAAAATTTGGAACTAAAACAGCCTTTCATTAGAGGCTAGTAAATGGTTTTGACTTCAAGGTTAAGTCAGAACATGCTTAAATATAGGAATAGCTAAAGTGGAGATGTGTTGTTAAACTAAAGACGAGCGTCTTTAACATCTTAAATACCTTTTCAGAAGATATATATTTCTTAATGTCTGTAAATTATAGAAATAAGTTTTAATGCCTTTATCGTGCCCACTTATTGAAATAACTTAACCAAATGTTAAGAAGATTATTAACTCCAAACAGCTTCCTCTGATGTATTGTGGGTGTACAGGCTGCTGATTAACTTAATTTTTGAAGTCAGGATAATAAGTTCTTGTGGAAGAGTCTGTTCATCAGGTTTGCTTATGGTGCTGATAGCCAGCTGACAGTTTAAGACTTAAGATCCAAAAATTGTTTCATGGATTCAGATTTCACAAAGGCACGCATTAATATTTAAGGAGGTTCAATCCAAAAGATAGGGCAGACAAGTATGGATGATTGGCAAAATAATTGCGTCAACTGGGACAGAGGGACTAGGGACACACAGGAGGGAAGATATGGAGCCAGCTTGATTGGTGTGGGTTCTGTGGCATCAGGACTGGTGAAGGTAGGTCTTTTATCCACAGCTATGGGTAATGCCAAATCCATAGAATGTGCAGAGATTATCGTGAAAATCCAAGAATGATAGGGATACCTGCAATTTTGTAGAAAATAACGCTAGTCTTTATTCTCCCCTGTGCTTTTTTAGAGTATGCTAAATACGTATCTTTGCAAATGTGCGGTAATTGAGTAAATTCCTTATGGTGTTTTATAATACCCATTTCTTTCAATAAGTTAACCAAATATTAGTTACTGCAATATTTAATACTACATCATACGAGTGATTTGCTAAAATGCATCATGGGTATGTGTGATGATTTTAAAATATGTCCTTTAAAATATGCAAATTCTTGGACACTTTTCAAGAGGTGAAGCCTAATTTCCCTCACTCTGAGTGTTGGCTAGTCTTACCACCTCACTTCTAGTGAATAGAATAAAGCAGAAGTGATGGGTGTGTTATTTTGGAGAAAAGTCAGAAAAATCCCATGAATTCTTCCTTTCTCTCTGTCTTTGATCACTTGATCTGAGGGGAGCCAGCTGACATATCATAAAAGGCCCACAATGTGATCACCTGCTCGATAACGGCCATTTCCCCTTATTTCACATCTTGAGCAAGTTTGAGTGCCTTGCCCAGCAGTCCAAGGATCTTCCTTTCTCAGCTTGTATTTCTTGCATTTTAATTAGAAACTTTTATGTCTAATGGTTTCCTAAGCATAGATTAGATATTTTCTCTGGTAAGTAATTAGTTTGGTATCGAAACTAATAGGAACTAGTGGTATGTCCTGAAGGTGAGACTACATTTTCTGTTAAATATCGTTTCCTTTTCTACAGATTTCACACACTGCACAAATATTTGTACCTTCCAAATACAAGGTGCACGATGTGCTAATGCTGGATGACTAATGCTGGGTATGGTTTCAACTTCCTGATTTCCTGAGTATGGTATTTTCCTCTATTATCACCTTGGTATTTCCCGTCTAGTCACATTATTATGCATATATATATGCTTATCACAGACATAAAGCCCCAGGGTTGGTAGGAAGCTTAGCATTTACTTGATTTATCATCCATAGCTTGCATCTATTGGTGCTCCAGCTCATATTTAAAATATTCTTAGAAATAGGGATCAGAGTGCATTCTGGGAAAACACATGTATTGAAGTTGGATAGTTAGTGACTTGAATCATAGAATATTGGTGGTAGGGAAGGTAGAGAGCTCGGATATGTGCTCTATTGGGGAAAAAATGGAAAAAACCAAGTAGTCTGTATATAGGGGACTATATAACATCATCCAAAACACACCACATTTGAGGGTGAAAGGGGCACCGTGTATAATTATGTTGGGACAACAGACCTAGGTAGGAGTGTCCTTGGGAAACCAGATTAAACCTATAGTAATTTTGGAGAAAGAGCAAGTATAGCTGCTTTCTCTGCAGCTTCTCAGGGTCTCTTCAACTTGCTCCAATATCGAGGAAACCAGAAGTGTCAGGCCAACACTGGATGTGACAGAAATTCCAGGACAATTCACAACTTCCCTACCAATTTAGGGTTATCTGCCTGGAACCATTTCAACAGGCAGTGGCAAGTCGTACATGAAGCTAAAGCTAAACGTATGTCGTTATCAGAATGGAGAACTTCGTCGGCTAACGCTGACCAAGTGTGTAACACATTCAGTTAAAATTTACCGAGTGCCTATCACCTTTCATTTAATCATGTCCCCCTGCGGCTGCTGTTACTGTTACATCTTACATGAAAGGAAACTCAGGCTCAGAAAGCTAAGCGACTTGACCAAGGTGACAGCTGAGCTGGGGCTTGGTTAAGGGCTGCAAGCTGGGTCCTCCTCCTTGTACTGCCACCGACTTGCACGTGGTACAGGTGCCTTGAGATGCTGGGGGAAGTGCACAGGAGGCCCCTTCACTAAAGTGCTCCGACAGGGAAGGACGGAGAAGAAGCGAAGTGAGCACACGCGAAGGCCGGGGCCCCGACCATGACGAAGGTGCGACCAGACAAGGTGCGCTCCGCCTCGCCAAAGCACCACGGTGGCCCTGTGGACCACACTAAAGATGGCGACAGCGTCATCAGCGTCCTCCTGCCCTTTCCCATTATGGCGGCGACCGGACCCGCCTCCCTGAGCGCCGGAGTCATGTGACCCACACAATGGCAGAGAGCCTCCTGCAGGCTTCCCGGCAACGCCGAGCCAAAGCCATGACCGCCGCCGCGGGAGCGGCCGGCCGAGCCGCAGTGCCCCTGCTGCTGTGCGCGCTGCTGGTGCCCGGCGGCGCGTACGTGCTCGACGATTCCGATGGGCTGGGCCGCGAGTTCGACGGCGTCGGCGCCGTCAGCGGCGGCGGGGTGAGTGGCGGGCTGTGGATGCGCCGGGGCGCCGCGGTCCCGCCCCACAACCCCCCGCGGCGCAGCCCCGCGCGTGGAAGCTCTCGGTTCGCGGCCCCGCTGCAGGCGGGCGCCTCTCGGCCGGCGGTCGCTGCGGGCCGACCGCGGGGCTGCGACCGGCGCCTGCTCGTTTGGGATGAACCTGTAGAGGCGGTTAGGTTTAACAGACGAGGATCCCGAGGTCTAGATACTGGCAAAGCTGGGGCTCCAACCCTCACCGTGGGCAACGGGGCCTGGGCTCAGCCGCAGAGGGCGCTCCAGGGGGTCGCTCCAGGGAGCCGGGGAGCATCTTTCTGGCGAAGAGGCTGCCCCAAAGCAGCTTTGGCTGTGCTGCTTCCTTTTTAGGGAGATGGGTTCCAGAGTCAGAAGCCCCGGACCGCGACCGCAGGGTGCCGTGGGCTCTTTCAGAGGGGCTAGTGGCTGAATAGGTTTTTTGTTTGGAGGAATGACAGGTGCCTCAAGGTCTCTTTAGGAAGGTAAGGGGCCTGAAACTATCTGGCACTTTTTTTAAATATTTTTTTTATTATTTTTTAATGGCAGGCTGCGTTAGCATCAATAGTCTAGAATTGTTTATTGTTGGAAGACTGCGTTGCCCGCGGCTGGTCAAGGCCCAAGGGAGAGTGAGTTGCCCACTGGACGGGTCAGTGCCTCTGTGCCTCGTTGGTGGCAATTTCTGTGTGCGAGACGGGGGAACGTCGGGTCCACAGCCATGCCAGGGGCTAGTCACCATCAGCGTGCACAGAGTCATCTGGTGTGCTTGTTCGGGCCTTTCCTCACCCCCATTCTGGCTAGTTTTGGAGTGGAGCCTGAGAATCTGGTTTTTAAATACATCAGTTGATTCTCATACTGAGTATCGAGAAACTTTTTTCCTGGTTCAAGAATCCCTGGAGCAGGAGATGAATTTTTTAAAAAACAAACTTTTAATTTTAGAATAGATATGCAGAAAAGATACCAAGACAATACAGAATTCTCATATACACCCTATGGCAGCTTCTCCTGTTAGTAGCATTCTACATTCGTATGGTACATTTTTCACAGCCAGTATTGACGGCATTAATGAAAACCTGTATTTCCCTTCATATTTCCTTAGTTGTTACCGCTTTTATGTTCTAGGATCCCAATTACATTTAATTGGCATGTCTCTCTAGTCCTCTTCTGGCTGTGACTGTGGGATGAGTTGGTGTTATACGGGCGTTCCATAAAATTTATGTGAAGGGCGACATGAAGGCTACTACAACTTTGTGCAGGATTATGTGGGCACAGCTGATAATTTTCTTAGCTCTCTGATAATGCCGTCAGGTGGCCTTCATACGTGGGAGCTTGCTTCAGTAGCATGATTGTTCTTGGTGTTTGTTGTATTGAGTCAGAGGGAACTTGTATCCTTAAGTGCAGTTCAGAACCAGCTTTGAATGCTTGCTTGCCGGGTGGATGTTTGGGCCTCTCAGACTATTGATAACCAATGTTGTGACTGGGCCAGTTCTTGTTATGACTGCGGTGCCCTCAGCAATAACCATCAGGAAACTTGGTGGGGGGAAGGTTTATTACTCACAAGTTCTGGAAAGTACATAATTGATTGCGCCATGTCTCATTAAACACCTGGGGCTACACAGCGATTTTGCAGGTGGAGGAAGAGGGAGGGGGTACGGGCCTGGAGGTCTGCTTTTATTGGGGTTGAGGGTGGGGGCCTAGTGTTTTGCAGATTCACCATATTGGTGAATTTAAAACTTAAAAGTGGGAACTTAAATTGCAGGAAGAATAAAAAACAAGTAGCCCAAATGGTCAGTTATAAAAATTAACCAAAGGAGCCTCAGCTCCTTACCTCCCTCTCCCCACCCCCCAAACCTGGGTCTTTATCTAGTTGTGTGGCTGGCAGTGTGTTTATTTGAGATAGACTTTATTTATTTATTTATTTATTTATTTATTGTTAGTTTCAGGTGTACAGAACAATGCAATAGTTATCCTTTTCACCCTTCACACAGAAACAACCCCCCTTCCCCATTTACTGCTCTCCCACCCCCTGATATCATACTTATCTATTACAATTCCATTGACTCCATTCCCACACTCTACTCCACATCCTGTGACTATATGTATATATAATTATAATTGACATACAATATTATTCAACATCAGCTTCAGAAATACAGTGCGGTGGTCAGGCCTCTACACCGATTATGAAGTGGTCTCCCTAACAAGGCATGAGTCCATCTGGCCCCCTAAAAAATATTTACAACATTATATTCCCCAGATTGTCTTTTCTATCCCTGAGGCCATATTATAGTTACCAATTTGTATTGGAGATAGACTTCTTTTAAGTGGATGCCTCTTTGAAGTAGATACCTCAGCAATCAAAGCTTATCAGGCACTTGCATTACAAAAAAAGAAACAAATTATTGGAGCTTACTATACAATCCACCCTGATACTGAGGCATCCGAGTGGTTGATGAGGACATTAACTGCCTGGGTAGCTGATATGCTAAATGTCAGGGGCAGGGCACTTGGTAACCTAGAAAGTACACCTCTAAGTAGGATGATAGTAGCACTCCTATAATATACAGGCAGTAGTCTCAAGTCCAGTCCATAGCCGTTGTCCCAAGCTTGAAGGGTCCCACCATGAAACCAGGTCAGTGATCTAGGGGCCCTAGGAATCTGTTCAATGATTTTGGTAATATTGTGAAATATTTTAACATCTTGGGCCATCTGGTATATGTAGGTTTGAACCTGTCCTGAATTGGTAGATTGCTCCATATCTCATCAAACCAGTCTCTTAGTCCTGAGAATAGATCAGTTCAGTTTAAGGGTTGTATCTCATTTCAGGAAATGGTGATGCAGGTGGGCTCCCAAAGTTAGGCCTACTCATCTATGGTTCAAGTATTTGCATCAGGTTATTTAATAAGAGGCATTTCAATGAAACCAAAAGACAAGGGCTAATGGCTGGAGCAGACTGTAAATACACTTTGAGTCCTGAGGGTAGCCAGTTGAGATTTCTAGACATCAAGCTTGCATTTTCTGATGCAGTGAGGGCTGTCAGTGCCAATCTGACATATTTCCTAGTTTGTAGTTTGAATGTCTCTGGTGGTCATTCTTAATGGCCTACGAAACAACAGTGACAAAGACTGTCCCTACATGGAGTTGTGCTGATTTCTCTGAAGTTGTTATCAAGCTTTCTCACTTTAGCTTGCATGGCTTCAGGAAAAGGGCAGTTTCATTTCTCAGTGATTCCGAGTCAGAAGTGTGGGAGAAAAATCGGAAACATTAGTTTGATGAGTATTAGTCAGATATTGGAGGAAACAAGAAGAATTCAGTATTCAGTCCAGCCTACAGGTAGAAAACTTCAAAGACTAGAATCTCATATCCACAGGGTGTGCTATAGTTTTTCATTGAAATAAAATTTTTCTCTCCATAGTGACCCCACTTTTATCAGAGATAATCAAAGTGGGACTAATTTGTTTGCAAAATAAGTCTAGCCTCATTAAACTTGGCCTGATTATTTACATAAGTGCAGCAAGAGTCATGATTGACCAAAAAGGTTTTTTTAAGTGTACTTTGCTAGACCTTTTCACAGGAATCTTAGATTGGACTCTTAAAAGTCTCTCAAGAGAATAGTGATTTCTGGTCAAGATGGTGGAGCAGGTAAATACTGTTGCCTCCTCTCACGACCACATCAAAGTTACAACTAAACTACAGAACAGCTATCATTGAGAATCACCTGAAGCCTAGCTGAACCAAAGTCCTACCTCTAAGGAATATAGAAGAAGTCACTTCAAGACTGGCAGGAGGGGCTGAGACGAGGAACAGCCTAGCCCCACACCTGTGTGTGACTTAAAAAATCGGGAGGGATATCTCAGCTGTGGACCCTGAGGAGAAAGAGGTCTCAGCCCCACACGAGGCTCCCCAGCCCAGGGTTCCAGTGCAGGGAAGAGAAGTCGCCATAATTCCTGTCTGTGAAAATCAGTGGAGATTGTGGCTAGGTGAAATGGAGGGTGGCTGGAATCCCAGGTGATCCTCTTAAAGGGCCCACACATGGAATTCCTCACTGACAGACTCCCTTGCTCTGATGGATAGCGCTGGGGCAGCACCTCGAAAGGCACCAGGTACATACGTACTGGGAGGAACTAAATTGTCTGGCTGCAGGGCAAGGGCTGGAAGGGGCACTTTCTCCCAGATAGAAGTGCTGGTAGAATCTGTTGTTTCTTTGTTGAGCACTTACCCCTCCCTGCTTGCAGACTGGTAGCTGCCATCAACCTAGCTAACACTTTTTGTTTGCTCTTCCCTTGTGATTCCCTGAGACCATGCCCCACCCAACTTTTGGGCCACCCAAGCTGCTTCCAGTGGCTTTTCCATACAAACAGCCTGTCTTGGCTCATGCTGCGGACTTTCCTAAAATCTCTCAAAGGTTCACAAAACCCAAACAAGCAGCATCTCTGGCTTCGGCATGTCACATACCTCTGGGCGAGCAGCCCTAAACCTCGCACTAGTGGAAGCCAGCCTTGGTTCAAGGCTTGACCTCTCAAGGCACCTTTAAGCCCAGCTTGGGTGGTGACCATCTGAAGATTGCTTTGTGGTTTGTGCCAGGTGGCCCCAGTCAGGGCACAGGCTGCAGCTGAACTTGATCTGTGGCTGGGCCCCTCCCAGGAGTCCCTGGGGCCAACAAGCCAGGTGGCCAGCTTCAGCTGAACCTGAGCACCACCTGGCCGCCTCCAAGGATGACATAACCAAAGGTCACAATGGGCAAATACCAGAGCCCTGCTCAGTAAGGTCAGCACCAGCACAACAGCTCCTCCACTGTAGTCGTGGCTAGTCCTTACAACTAATCAGCCCTAGGGTCATTCCCTCCCATTGATGTGTAAACACCAACCAAGTTTCAACTATAACAGTAGAGCACACACAACCCACACAAGGGACACACCTGGAGCACCTGGCTTAGGTAACCAGGGAGGCTGAGCCACTGAGCCCCACAGCACACCTACTACATAAGGCCACTCTATTAAGACCAGGAGACATAACAGCCCTATCTAATACATAGAAACACACACACACACACACACACACACACAAACACACACAGCCAAAATAGGGAGACAAAACATGTCCCAAATAAATAACAGAACAAAGCTCTAGAAAAAGAACAAACAAAACCAGAGACAGCAATCTACCAGACGTTAAGTTCAAAACACCAGTTATAAGGATGCTTAATGATCTCAGATCTCAGGAAGAACTTCAACAAAGAGATAGGAAGCATAAAAAAGAACCAGTCAGAAATATAATAACTGAAATGAAGAATACATTAGGGGGAATCAACAATATATTAGATGAAGCAGAAGATTGAATCAGCAATTCAGAAGATAAGGTAGCAGAAAATACACAATCAGAATAGCAAAAAGAAAGAATCCCCCCAAATGAGGATAGTTAAGGGACCCCTGGGACAACATTAAGCATGCCAACATTTGCATCACAGGGGCATCAGAAGAAGAGA